AATCAGTTTAAAAAAAACAAGTCTCACCATCATTCTTCGAATGTGCTTATGTTCATTCAAGAGAGGTAGTATGAGCAGTGTTCAAGATCACAGACTCTGGAGCTGCCAAACTGCCTCTAGTAAAATCCCAGGTCCACCAGCTGCTAACTCTAGGGCCTTGGACAGGTTATACGTCCTCTCCACACTGCCCCTTCTCCATCCATAAAATGGGGAGAAAAATAGTGCCTACCTCTTGGATGTATATGTTCATAAAGTACCTAGATCACTGCCTGGCACAAAGTTAGCACCATATATCTGTTAGCAGTTATTCTTCTTCTTCACTTAGTAACAAATGTTTGCGGAACCCCCTCTGTGTAAAAGATCAGTGCAGGAGACAGCACTGAATACCAAGAAGCAACATAGGCCAGTAGCTAAGAGCATGGAGCTTGGTGTCCAGTGCAAATCCCACCTCTGACACTTACCAACCTTGTGACCACAAGCAAGTTACCTGTGCTCTCCGAGCCCACTTGCACTTGTAAAAATGAGAAGAGTGAGACCTGTCTCACAGTGAAAATAAGAGGAGGCTCTTGGCACAGCGCCTGTGTCATGCGTGGCAAGGGCAGATCCGTGGTAAAGCTGATGTTATTGCCGGTGCTGCCACAGGTCCAAGAAACAGACTCCATGGAGCTTTCAGCTTTCAGCTTATGTACTGAGGAAAGACGCTCTGGGCAGTTTTCCCACGGACTCTGACTTCCTCCAGATGCCCAGCCCAGGCAGATCCAAACAGACTGCAGTGTAGGATCTGGGTGTCTGGAGAACCCAAAGTCTACCTGTGTGAACAAGGTACGGCATCCTCAAACACCTTCCAAAGAGAAGGAAGGGTCTCAACTGTGAGGTCTTTTCCTCACCTCAGTGAGGAAGAGGCAGGCACTCTGCAGACAGAGTGGATTATCTGTCCTGAAAGGTCCCAGGTCTCCAGTTCAATGTGGAACTGGAGCAGATAACAGCCCTTGACTGAGCGTCAGCCCGATCGGCCCCAAATAGTTGACCAGGGGGTTTTGACCCCTTTGTTAGCCGGCGCAGGTTGAAGCAGTGGGCTGCTTCACCTTTTCAAAAGAAGAGAAAGTGTGTGGGTGTGTAATGTACACTGCAGGTTAGGTTTCAGCATGAATTTGGGGGAAATTTGTTGGTCTGTAGGGGTAGAGCAGCCCCCATCCTCTGCTGAGTTGGGAGGAACCCTGGCCTTGTCCAGCCTTGAATGTGAGCAGCGTCCTAGTCTCATCCCCCCTATCCCCGGAAACACCCCCTCTGTTGGTGGGTGACTGTTGGGATGGGCTGTCTTCCAGGCCGGACACAACTTCCGCAACGTGGACATGAGCTACGTGAAGACGCTGTGTGGCACCAAGCTGGGCGGGCCCAAGCTGCCCGAGAAGTGAGTATCTGCTCCCTGGGGCATGAGGAGCAGGCGTTGGTTTGGGACAGTGGGAAAGAGGGGAGAGAGAAGGCCTCCCTGGCGTCTGCAAGTCTCACTTCTCTCAGAGACTCTACTTGAGGGCAGGGCTCAGCCCCAAATGCCAGTGTTTCCCACACGCTTCTCCGGGTGGGAAAGGCCCCAAGTCTGGGTCTCCACAAGCTAGGTGGGCCCAATCTTGAATAAGGAAATTCAGGGAAAAGCCAGGTGATCTGCCCTTGATGTTTGACTTTTCTAGAAAATTCTGGACAGTTTCATGTAGGCATTATTACTCTTGTAGGAAGCAGTAAATCAATCTTGACAGTGAGGGTGGGTTAGTGAAGTTATGGGACATCACACAGTGGCAAAAATATTAAAAAAGATGATGTGAGGAGCCAGGGCAGATGTATGATCGGGGGTGGGGCGGGGGAAGCAAGAAACACAATGATCTGGACCCTGTGGCTAAAACTCGTGAAAAACATCCACAAAATAATTCGAGAAAGAAGGTTGTGGGGTGGTAAGTTGTGTTAAGCAGCAGAATCAGGTTTTATTTTCTAAACTTCCAAGAGGACATCCCTCTTCTGTATGTTGTGTGCCTCACTCCCTTTCTCGGGGACGGCCCGCAGGCAGCTGGCCTTTGCAGGGATGGGGTGGGATGAGCAGCACAGGTGGTAAGATGCAAGTTTATAATGGAGATCTTCCTTTATCCAGAGTGTGGCTTGCTGAGGACATAACTCTGCCTGAAAACTTCGATGCCCGGGAAAACTGGCCAAACTGCCCAACCATCAAGGAGATCAGAGACCAGGGTTCCTGTGGCTCCTGCTGGGTGAGGCCCTGCTGTTGGGAGTGGCTAGAGCAGGGAGTGGGTGGTGGAGGGGGGCCCTGGGAGTGACGAGGGGATTGGAGTTGGACCAGCTGTGACTGGACATATTACATAACTTTCCCGAGTCTCAATCTCCAGCAGTATAAACATAATCAAAACCCCTGTGATCCTGAGTTATTACAGAGGCTAGGTGGAAGAAAGGAATGTATAGCCCAGCCTGTGTGGCTCAGTGGTTGAGTGTTAGCCTATGAACCAGGAGGTCTCAGTTCAGTTCCTAGTCAGGGTATATGCCTAGGTTGCAGGCTTGACCCCCCAGTTAGGGGGCATGCAGGAGGCAGCCAATCAAATGATTCTCATCATTAATGTTTCTATCTCCCTCTCCCTTCCTCTCTGAAATCAATAAAAATATATTTTAAAAAATAAAAAGTGTATAAAGCCCTGTGCACAGGCCACAGCCATGTGTGGGTTGTGAGTGTTTTTATTTCTGTTTGACATGCTGTCTTGAGCCATCAGCAATACCCTTAGTTTTGACCTCCACTGTGTGTCATGAAGACTCAGTGACTGTCTTAATTTTGTTTTTTAACTGTGGTAAAATACACAATATAAATGTAACCATCTTAATCATTCTTTTTTTTAAAATATATTTTTATTGATTTCAGAGAGAAGGGGGGGGAGAGAGAGAGAGAGAGAGAGAGAGAGAGAGAGAGAAAGGAAGGAAGAGGAGAGAGACATCAACGATGAGAGAGAATCATTGATTGGCTGCCTCCTGCACGCTCCCACTTGGGATCAAGCCTGCAGTACGGGCATGTGTCCTTGACCGGTTTGGAACCTGGGACCCTTCAGTCTGCAGGCTGATGCTCTATCCACTGAGCCAAACCAGCTAGGACTTTTTTTTAATCCTCACCCATGGACATGCTTAGAGAGAGAGCAACATCAATGTGAGAAACATGCATCAATTGCTCCCGCACTCGCCTTGACCAGGGATTGAAGCCGCAACTTGGGTTTGTGCCCTGACTGGGAATCGAACCTGCTAACTCTTGATGCATGGGACGATGGTTCAACCAGCTGAGCCACACAGGCCAGGGCTTAATCATTGTTGTTGTTTTTTTAAAGAAGCCTTATTTTATTTTATTTAGTATATTTTATTGATTTTTTTTTTACAGAGAGGAAGGGGAGGGATAGAGAGAGAAACATCAATCAGTTGCCTCCTGCACACTACATACTGGGTATGTGCCTGCAACCAAGGTACATGCCCTTGACCGGAATCGAACCTGGGACCCTTGAGTCTGCAGGTCAACGCTCTATCCACTGAGCCAAACCGGTTAGAGCATCATCATTCTTAAGTATATAGTTCAGTGGCATTAAGTATGTTCACATTGGGTGGCCATCACCACCATCCATCCACACAGCACACAGCTCTTGTCATCTTGTAAAACTGAAACTCTGTCCCCATTAAACACTAACAACCCCATCCGCCCTCCCCTTTGCCCTCAGCAACCACCTTTCTATTTTCTACTTTCTACTATGATTATGACTAGTCTGGATACCTCATAGAAGTGAAATCAGAATGTTTGCTCTGCCGATTGGCCAGGCGCAAGTCGATGTCTTGTTCCTGGGTGTGGCTAGCAGAGTCTTAGACTTCCGGGAAGACGCACGTGGCCAAGGTAAGATGGAGGACGTAGCCCTTACCCTGGGGCAAGGTGGAGGGCCTAGCCCTCGCCCTTTCAATATATGCATACAAGTTCTTTGGTTGATCTCTTCCCACCTACCCACTGAGCCCCACCTTCCATCTGAGATCTGACAGTCTGTTCCATGCTTCTGTGTCTCTGGATCTTCTTTGTTCAGCAGTTTACTTTGTTCATTAGATTCCACATATGAGTGAGATTATGTGGTACTTGTCTTTCTCTGACTGGCTTATTTCACTTAGCATAATACTCTCCAGGTCCCTCCATGCTGTCTCAAAGGGTTAAGAGATTTTTTTTTTTTTTTTTACTGCTGCATAGTACTCCATGGTATAAATGTACCACAGCTTTTTTTAACCACTCACCTCCTGATGGACACTTGGGCTGTTTCCAGATCTTAGCTGTTGTAAATTGTGCTGCTATGAACATAGGGGCGCATACATTCCTTCTGATTGGTGTTTTGGGTTTCTTAGGATATTCCTAGAAGTGGGATTACTGGGTCAAATGGCAGTTCTATATTTAATTTTTTTAGGAAACTCCATACTGTTATCCATAATTGCTGCACGATTCTGCATTCCCATCAGCAGTGTACTAGGGTTCCCTTTTCTCCACATCCTCGACAGCACTTGTCATTTGTTGATTTGTGGATGGTAGCCATTCTGACGGGTGTGAGGTGAAACCTCATTGTGGATGATCAGTGACTTGAGCATTTTTCATATTACTCTTGGCCATCTCTATGTCCCCTTTGGAAAAGTGTCTATTTAGGTCCTTTGCCCATTTTTTAATTGGATTGTTTGTCTTCCTTTTGTTAAGTAGTATGAGTTCCTTATATATTTTGGATATTAACCCTTTATCACATGTATCCTTGCCAAAAATGTTCTCCCATACAGTGGGCTCCCTTTTCATTTTGTTGATGGTTTCTTTTACTGTGCAGAAGCTTTTTGTTTTGATGTAGTCCCATTGGTTATTTTCTTCCTAGTTTCCTTTGCCCTAGGACAGTGGTTGGCAAACTCATTAGTCAACAGCCAAATATCAACAGTACAATGATTGAAATTTTTTTTGAGAGCCAAATTTTTTAAACTTAAACTATATAGGTAGGTACATTGTTATAAACTTAATTAGGGTATTCCTAAGGCTTAGGAAGAGCCACACTCAAGGGGCCAAAGAGCTGTATGTGGCTTGCGAGCTGCAGTTTGCCGACCACGGCCCTAGGAGATGTATCTGCAAACATATTGCTACGAAAGATTTTGCTGCTTATTATTCTAGGGTTTTTATGGCTTCCTATCTTACGTTTAAGTCTTTTATCCATTTTGAGTTTATTTTTGTGTATGGTGTAAGTTGGTGGTCTAGTTTCTTTCTTTTTTGCATGTATCTGTTCAATTTTCCCAACAACATTTATTGAAGAGACTTTCTTGCCTCCATTGTATGCTTTTGCCTCCTTTGTCAAATATTAATTGAGCATAATGTCTTGGGTTGATTTCTGGGGTCTCTGTTCAATTCCATTGATCTATATGTCTGTCCTTGTGCCAGTACCAGGCTGTTTTGATTATAGTGGTTTTGCAGTATAACCTGATATCTGATCTGGTATTGTGATTCCTCCAACTTTGTTTTTTCTCAAGATTGCTGCGGCTGTTCAGTGTCTTTTTAGGTTTCATATAAATTTTTGGAGTATTTGTTCTAGATCTGTGAAATAATGCCGTGGGTAATTTAATAGGGATTGCATTGCATCTATAGATTGCTTTGGGTAGTATGGACATTTTAATGATGTTGATTGTAGCAATCCATGAACATGGTATATTCTTCCACTTGTTTATATCTTCCTCTGTCTCTTTTTTCAACATCCTGTAGTTTTCAGAGTACAAATTTTTTACCTCTTTGGTTACATTTATTCCTAGGTATCTTAATTTTTTGTTGTTGCTATGGCAAATGGGATTGTTTAATTTCTCTTTTGAGAATTCCTTATTGGTATATAAAAATGCCATCGATTTTTCAATGTTAATTTTTTGTACCCTGCTACATTGCCGAATTGCTTTATTATATCTAGTAGAATTTTGGTGGAGTCTTTAGGGTTTTCTATATACAATGTCATGTCATCTGTGAATAATGAGAGTTTTGCTTCCTCCTTTTCATTTTGGATGCCCTTTATTTCTTCTTGTCTGAGAGCTGTGGCTAGGACTTGCAATGCTATCTATAATATTAAAAGCATAATATGCTAATTAGACCGGACGTCCTTCCAGACGACCTTCCAGATGAAGCCGACCTTCCAGATGAAGCCGGGGCTGTGAGGGCAGAGGCAAACCACAGTGGCTGTGGTGGGTGGGCGGGGCCTCCCTCTGTGAGTGAAGCCCAGTCCCGGGTGCTGGAGGGAAGCCGGTGCCAGCAGCCAGAGGAAGGAAGGCCTACTCTTGCACGAATTTTCGGGCCTCTAGTTTGAATAAGAGTGGTGAAAGTGGACACCCCTGTCTTGTTCCTGTCTTAGGGGAAATGGTTTTAGTTTTCACCCATTGAATATGATGTTGGTTGTAAGTTTATCATATATGGCCTTTATTATATTGAGGTATGATCCCTCTATTCCCACATTGCTGAGAGTTCTTTTATCAAAATGGGTGTTGGATTTTGTCAAATGCTTTTTCTATGTTTATTGATATGGTCATGTTATTTTTGTTTTTCAGTTTGTTTATGTGATGTATCACGTTTATTGATTGCAAATATTGTACCAGCCTTGCACCGCTGGAATAAATCCCACTTGGTCATGGTGTATGATCTTTTTAATATGTTGCTGGATCCTATTTGCTAGAATTTTGTTGAGGATTTTAGCATCTATATTCATCAGGGATATTGGCCTGTAGTTCTCTTTCTTTGTAATGTCTTTATCTGGTTTTGGAATTAGGGTAATGCTGGCTGCAAAAAAGAGCTTGTAAGTTTTCCTTCCTCTTGAATTTTTTGGAATAGTTTGAGGAGAATAGGTGTTAGTTGTTTTTTTTTAATGTTTGGCAAAACTCCTCTGTGAAGCTGTCCGGACCAGGGCTTTTGTTTGATGGGGTTTATTATTATTATTATTATTATTATTATTACTGCTTCTATTTCATCAGCTGCTATGGCCTAGTCAGGTTTTCTGATTATTCCTGATTCAGTTTGGAAGATTGTATTTTTCTAGGAATTTGTCCATTTCACCCACATTGTCCAGCTTGTTGGCATATAGTTACTCATAGCATTTTCTTACAATTCTTTCTATTTCTGTGTGTCAGTGGTTACTTCTCCGCTTTTATTTCTGATTTTATTTATTTGGGTCCTTTCTCTTTGTTTCTTACTGAGTCTAGCTAACAGTTCATCAATCTTGTTTATCTTTTCAAAGAACCAGATGCTGGTTTCATTAATCTTTTGTATTGTTTTTTAAGTCTCTATGTCATTTATTTCTGCTCTCCTTTATTGTTTCCTTCCTTCTACTTACTCTGAGCTCTTCTTGTTCTCTTTTTATTTCTTTAAGTTGTTGGGTTAAATAGTTTATTAATTTTTCTTGTTTTTTTGAGGTAGGCCTGTAGTACTATGAACTTTCCTCTCAGAACTGCTTTTGCTGTGTCCCAGAGATTTTGGGTTGTTTTGTGTTCATTTTCATTTGTTTCCAGGAATTTTTTTATTTCTTTCTTGATCTCCTTGGTAGCCAATTCATTGTTTAATAACATGCTATTTAGTCTCCATATGTTTGAATGTTTTTGATTGTTTATACTGTAGTTGATTTCTTAAAAATATATATTTTTTATTGATTTCAGAGAGGAAGGGAGGAGGGAGAGATAGAAACATCTATGATCAGAGAGAATCACTGATTGGCTGCCTTCTGCACGCCTCCTCCTGGGGGTTGAGGCCACAACCCGGGCATGTGTCCTGACCAGGAATTGAACTGTGACCTCCTGGTTCATAGGTTGATGCTCAACCACTGACCCATACCAGCCGGGCTGTAGTTAATTTCTAATTTCATTCCATTACAATCTGAGAATATGCTTAATATGATTTCAGTCTTCTTGAACTAGTAGAGACTTGTTTTGTGTTCTAACATGTGGTCTATCTTTGAGAATAACCCAAGTTCACTTGAGAAGAAGGTATATTCTGCAGCTTTGGAGTGAAATGTTCTATAAATGTCAATTAAATCCATCTGATCCAGTGTGTCATTTAGAGTCATTGTTTCCTTGTTTTTGTCTGGAAGATCTATCCAGTGAAGTTAGCGGGGTGTTAAAGTCCCCTACTATGACTATATTGCTGTCAATCTCTCCTAAAGTCCTCCAGAAGTTTTAATATATTTAGGTGTTCATATACTGGGCACATATATGTTGACCAGTGTTATATCCTCTTGTTGGATCAACTCCTTTAGTATTATGTAGTGACCTTTATTGTCTCTTGTGAAGGCCTTCATTTTGAAGTCTATTTTGTCAGATATGAGTATTGCCACTCCAGCTTTTTTTTTTGTTTCCATTTGCATGGAAATTTTTTTCCATCCCTTCACTCTCATCCTTTGTGTCTTTTTTCTGAGGTCTCTTGTGGACAGCATATATTTGGGCCATGTTTTTGTATCCATTCAACTACCCTATGTCTATTGATTGGAGCATTTAATCCATTTACATTTAAGGTTTTTATTGATAGGTATTTATTGCCATTTTAATTCTTTATGCCTGTGTTTCTCTCTGTTTCTTCTTCTCATTACAGCAGTCCCTTTAGCATTTCTTGCAATGCTGGTTTGGTGGTGACAAACTTCTTTAGCCTTTTTTTGTCTGGGAAGCTCTTTATTTCCCCATCTTGAGATAGCCTTACTGGATTTTTAAAAAATAATAATGTGGATTATTATTTTTAAAAATATTTTTTAATTGACTATAGAGAGGAAGGGAAAGAGAGATAGAAACATCAGTGAGGAGAGAGCATCATCGATCGGCTGCCTCCTGCACGCCCCCTACTGAGAATCGAGTCCACAACCTGGACATGTGCCCTGACCTGGAATCGAACCGTGATCTCCTGGTTCATAGGTCAATGCTCAACCACTTAGCCACACCACCTGGGCAATTGTGAGCTGTTTTTTTATGTTGAAAATCAAAACTACATATTTCAGAAATGAACTGAGTACCCAGGTAGAGGATTAAAGATTAAAGGAACTTTAAAACTAAGTTTGAGTGCCAGGACCCTCGCCTGACGCTGAAAAAGACTAGTCACCAAGGAAGTCTGAGGTGCCCACTGCGGCCTTCCAAGGCCCAGGGGTGGGGCTTACCTGGGTAGGGATTGTTTCTGCAGGCATTTGGAGCTGTGGAAGCCATTTCTGACCGGATCTGCATCCTTACCAATGGGCATGTCAACGTGGAGGTGTCTGCCGAGGACCTGCTCACCTGCTGTGGCTTCCAGTGTGGAGACGGGTGAGTCTGAGGCAGCACCTTCCATGAGGGAATGGCACCTGGGAGACCTGGTCTGAGGCCTCCTCAGGTGGAGGGTGACTGAGGCTCCCTGGGGTGGGAGTGACATTGAGGACAGATGTGGTCGAGGCACTGTGAAAATCTGGGGAATCTGGAAGCAGGCCCTAGTATGGCTGCTGCTTCCTGGAAGGCTCCTAAACCCAGGCTGTGGGTGGTGGGGTCTGGGCAAAACAGATGGGCTGATCTCAGATCTGATTTTTCTGCTGAAGGCAATGTAATAGCCTCAGGACCTGTTTCCTTATCTGTAGTTAATGATGGTTCCCCAGATTGCTCACACTGCCTCCTGTGCTTCCCTCTAAAAAGAAAAAGGTGTGTCCACCAGTTAAGTTTGAATTTCTGGCAGTGGTGTTTTGGTACCCTGGGGAATTCGGTGTGCTCCCTCATTGAGAACCCCTGTTCTAGAAAGGACACAACCTGGTTTGGTGTAGGCAGGAATCCGAGTGTCCTGTCTCCTCGAGGGTCTTGGTGGGTGGGGTGGAGAGCTTGGGTGATTCCCTGGAAGGGACAATCCAGGGGAGGATGAATTGGGGGTCTGTCGGGACCTGGGAGAACTGTTGGGCTACTTGCCAAAGGCAGTGGTGGCTCCACCAGGCAGTGGTCTGGGAGCAGCTAGCACCTCTCTCACGATGACTTTTAATGAATGGCTCTTCTCTTAGCTGTAATGGGGGCTTTCCCTCTGGCGCTTGGAACTTCTGGACAAAAAAAGGCCTGGTGTCTGGTGGCCTCTATGACTCCCATGTAGGTGAGTGTTTGCCCTGAGTCCCTATCTAGCCAGATGGATTT